TTTGTCAGCTACACTGTATAACTAAAGTACGCGTTGTAAAGTGACTGTATATACAAAATATAAATTATGCGATTATCTTGAATTGCCTGTGTTTCCTTCAGTGGCCACCATCATTTGGCAAACACGTTAAGTGCCGAGCTGGTTTTCATGAAATTTCTGTTTACACCACGCGATTCGTTGGTCGGAAATGTTGGAAAATTTTGTAAGAAACGTTGTGAAGAAAATTCAATGTTTTGGAAGTGAAAGTGCTAGGAATATTACTACCATTTTAATTTATGGAAACATAGTAATATTTTTTACATTTCATGCTGATTCATTGTTGGTGACTGATGCGATATGGAACGGAGAATCTACGATCGACCGCGGCATTTAACGTGTTAACCCTTATAGAACATTTTAAGATTTTCGAATAGCATTCAAAAGTATCTTCCAAAATATGCGGCTTTGAGGTATTTATTAAAAGTAATATATTTCTCTTGAAAATGAAGATATTTTCAGGTTTTCCACTATATAAACTTATTTTATAAAAATAAAGTGTCATTACATGTATTTAAATTATAGTAAACATGGAAAGTCGATATATCAGGTCAAAGTATTTTTTCGGCGAACCGACAAAGTTTTAAGGATTAAATACTATCCAAATTTTCATTACCTCTCTATAAAAATGATTTTTTGTTCATAGCAGCATTATTATCGTGGACAACAAGCAGATCCAGCATTAGTTTTATTGAAGATGAAAAATAGCAGTCTGGAGTCAACGTTCAATTTTATGCATTTGTTAACTAGAAATGAAATAGAACATGTTAAGTTTGTGTTGTTTAATCCGATTAATTGTCTCAGATCGTCTATATGAGTTTTCGTGATTATAGCGTGCACGAAATAGATCACGCTCGTATTGGAGCAATATCTTTATTTTCCTACAAATACAAGTTTGTTGTCGTATATTATTTATATGTGTTCGTCTTAACAGTACCTTCATAAATATGCGAATATAACATTTACATGCTGATTTTTGTTCAAATATACATAATACAGTACTTATTCAATCAGCTCGTGGCTGGAGCAGTAAAGGGTCTCCCTATTATAGAAAACAAAAAACGTGAACAATATATAGAGCTGTAGAGAAGAGAGAAAACGGTGTGTCATCGAAAGAAAATCGTAAATGGGACTAGTGACTCATTCGTTCGCACGTTCACCTTATAATCACGTTATAATTCACCTTATAATTTTTGTCTGTCGAATTCCCATTGTTTTATTGCGATCAAGATCAAGAACTACCGTAAACAGAAATAAATTGATAATATCGATTCAACAACAATTATGTTGGAACTAAACAGAGTAGGTATGTGTTCACCGTTTTTTTAGTTTGTCCGCTTCAGCAATGATGAGAAAATAGGATATAATACACAGAGTACCATTAGAACGTCGATGCAATGATGTGATAAATATATGACTTTTAATTCCCTTATATCTAAATACTTTACTGAAATATAATTTTAATTACGCTACCGGTGTATATGTACAAAATCCTACTAAATATTAAATCTAAACCATACAGATTATGCCGTTCACGTCAAAACAGAAATTTCCTTTTTTTTTCCTATCTAATATGTAAATATACTTCCATCTCTAAGTGTCCTTTAAGGCAAAGACCGTTAATTTTCATATTCTTTCGGATAGAAGGTTCAAGCTCGACGATAAAAATTTCTATTTTTTCTCTCGACATTATGACACTTTTGTGAATTGTGATACATGAATGATTCAAATTATAATAGATAACGCACGATGATTTTCTCTGATGAAAGTATGATTCGGAAATTATAATACAATTAGAATATAAAACAATAACAAACTCTATGAATAGACTCGACGACGATAAGACCCGTTATGAGACGACGAAGGGTTCATGCGAATGATAATGGGAAAATATACAAATGTCGACAATTACGGCGAATTGTCTAAGAGATTATTATAACTATGGAAATTAAATACGGTTACGCTGATAACATTTTGCGGTGTTATGAGACTGAATCCTTTTTGTTTTCGACTCTGCAAGAAAATGTAACGATAGATACGAGAATTGATGTTACTGTAATGTCATATACAGGGTGTACTGATTGACATGATCACCCAAAACATCTTAATTGTTTCTGGAAAAAAATTAACAGAATGCAAAGTGTAAATTACATTTTTAATATTCAATAAATAATAGTCAATGAACAGTAATAATACTAATTCTTCAACTTTAGAATAATTTAATTAAAATGAATAATAAAGAATATATAAAGGATAAAGATTAATTGCCAAATCCCTTCGACGGAGACAAAATTGAAGAAGAAAAATAAAGGATATTTATGACACAACTGAATAAATGATATAGAAAATATCCTTATAATAAAAATATAATACAAATTCAATATAAAAAAACATTTCTCGGAAATTATTAAAATCAAGATGTGTACCATCTGCTCCTGTCGAAAATTAAATATCTTTAATACTTTATAATATATAATAATTAAAATATTTACATATTTTCCTATATTATTAAAAACAATGAAGATGTTTCATGCAGCTACATTAAATGGAACACCCTGTAAAAATGTATATTTCTATTAAATTTACGAATTATATTAATCGCATAAATTATAATAACGTATTACAATAATATATTAATGTGACGAAACTTGAAAGGAATGTCCTCGGTGCTGAAAAATCTGAATATAATATTAAACAAGAAAATTGAAATTCTTCCGAAGCTTGGAATAAATATTTTTGAACTGCTCGATTCGAAATAATTGTGATGTCATTACGCGATAACGAGGACTTATGCTACAACATATTGCCTTATACTTGCACTTCGATTACGTGTTATTGTACAATAGCTCGTTAACAAATTTTTTTTTACATGATTCACGTATATGAAAATTATACGCGCTGATCGTAAGCTCGTTGCCTACGAGCTGATCACGTAGAAATACGTCGATGAATAGGATTAATACATATACGTTTATAAGTTAGAGTAAATATTTCTTTCTATAAGGAAGAACGCATGGACGGCAGAAATCTTGTGTACACCATCTATACTCAAGCATAAATAAAAATTTCAAATAATTTCGAATGAATTGTTGATCGTCTAGTATCATGAACAATTTAAAATAACACTCTGTTTTGGGATGTTTTAACTATTTTAAAAAACAGGAACAAATTTTATGCAAAAGTATATATGTACGACAATCCCTCCGGATCGTATTATTTCAGTAAGACATCTTAAGTCCAACTTAGAAATAATAAACGGAATTGTGATGCTTAAACTGCGGATGTTTATACCTCATTTATGTTTCTTTTGTTTTTAATAAACTGATTTGCGAAAAGAGTTCTATTGAGTTGAAAATGGAATAAAAGTTTTATCAAAGTCTTAAAATTAATATTGAAATCCTTTTAACGTTGCCTGTGAGTACATAAAATCCACAGTCTCAGTGATGTGGGGTTGTTAAATATTATCGAGACTCTTCGATTACACTTAGAAATGAATTATTTAACAGCACAACTTTACGAATCTCGCAAATGGAAATCATCACTAGAATTCACTGCATACGTTGATTATACATAGCGACGTTAGGTAATAACAGCAGCATAAGTCTGATTACAATAGTATTGCGGCAATAATAGCAGCAGTAGCAACAATAATGATAATAAGTGGGTAATCTACTTATATGCAATTAATAACTATATTCATGTGGGTGGTGCAAATAAGGTGTATCCGCCTAAATTCTAACATACGAAATTACACAATTATTATACAATACCATTTAGGAACTTGAAATTCTATGATATCGCTTGTTGTTTTTTTTTTAATAAACATCTATTATTAATCAGATTAAAGTAATCGAGCGTAGGATTCGTTTCAATGCTTTTCGTAGAAGAGATACGAATTTTTAAATGAAATATATTCGGAAGAAATCAAACCCCGTGAATGATAATATTTCTTTAAACAACAAAACACGAGAGTAGGCGCTTTGTACGTCGCTTCGACTTTGATCGTCCGATTGCTGATCACAAAATTAAATTAACTGAGATTGTATCACCTGTTGTCACGTTTTCTTACGCTACGTATTTTGTTCTTGTAAAACCTCTGTTAATACAGATTCAGATATAATATTAATAACTTAATGCGAAGACGTGGAATATAGCGTTAATTGAAATATCGATACGATGAAAATTTCTGTTGATCATCGTTAATGGACCTGTCTGATAATATTTTTGTACATAAGTATAAATAATGTAAAAACTACTGAAATAATGTACTAATTCTACGGTGTGTGTAGTTGATGGGTGTATTGTTCTTGTATGTTCCTGTATGAAAAAATATTTACATTGTTTGATCATTAAAATTTAGGATTTAATGTTAAATAGTTCTGTTCACTTTGTACATTATTTTACACTTGACGTTGTCACAGCACCGAACCACAAAATTGATCGAATAAACGTGTAAAACATAACTATTGTTCCTGCGTGATCAACGAAGTGTGTAAAGATCGATAGTTCAATCTCTTTGAAAGTTTCAGCAAACTTCCTCTGTCACCCATCAACTACATTTATATGATATATTTTCAGTATTATTTCATAACATCCAATATATCTTCGACGAACTTCTCTAATGAAATGAACGTTCTAGTGTCTATTCCGTTACATTTACTTCTTGAGTCTGTAAGATCTAACCGTATCTGTTGATCATCATTCTCACACTACATAGTAGATCCCAATAACATATAAAATACAGATGTAAATTTATTTGATAATATATACATATATTATCAAACATACTATATATATATATATATAATTTTATAGCTGGACAAAATAGAGACGGAATACGTTTTTTTTTTTGCGAAGGCACGAATAGGGCCTGCTGAATAGATTTAAAACCAGTTATTCAGATAAAAAGGTAAACTTTTGTCATTGAATTCTCTGTGAAGTGTGATGACGTTTAAAAAAATTATTTACTCGTCGCAATCTCGATAGAACTGCAATGTGTACTCCGAGTAATCGACACCTGGTTTATTTTTACAAATATTCTGGAATAAAAGGGAAATTTATTAAACGGTAATGTAAAATTGTTTTACCTTGGTGCAGATCTTTATGTAAAGAGTGAATAAATCACCTCCTGAGGCTGTACAGTAGGCACACGAAACCTCAACGTCTTCCTGAGATAATGAGCAACATCAAGAGAAAACGACTGATCCCCTGGCTGATTGTTATTCTCCATGTATTGAGCTGGTTGTTGCACCGTGTACTTTCGACCGCACATCATCGTCTCATCTACCCCAGAATTTGTCGATAGAGAGCATTGTTGTACCACTTGCCAGTACCAAGGCATTCCACTGAAAATATAAAATAAAGGAAGAACGAGATTAGTTCGTTTACATCATTCTAGTGGGTAACTAATTGTATTTGGTTATTAATAATGGTTTAAAAAGTATTTCCTACGATATAAAAGAGATTCATAGAATTATTTATAGAATTATAAATAGTTTAGGAACATATTTCTTTATTCGTATTAAATAATCCAAGTTATGTCTGAGTAATTCAGGTGATTACGTTAGCTAAACCACTCTGTATATTTGATATAAGTAAGATTTAAAGAAGTCCTGCAATAGAAACAAATACGTCATCCCTTAACAATGACCAACAATATAATCATTTGCAAGTATTGTGAAATAATATGATAGATTAAAAAAATTCCAGAACACAATGAATCTAAATATACTAGCCTAAAAAAAAATGAAAAACTCACACAAAATGTAAGGTAAGATGTGTATCCGGCATATACTTGGACAGAGGTACGATGCAAGTAATATTATTCAATGTATCCTGCGAAGATGCAGAGCAATACTTTTGATCGAGAGAAGTGTTAAAGCTTTCCGCCACAATCCACAATTGAGGTTTCGGCTCCGGTGGCAATGATCCAGCCGCGTTGCTGGCCACCTCTCCCCAATCACCGCCACTGTTCTCCCTTCTTGTCCTCTTATGCAGATATTTATAATTATTCTGTAACAAATCAAGTTTCTCAGAGTCACAAGACACGATCTACATATTCACTTCATCCATTACCTCTTTCACAAGCGTCTGCGTGCTCGGATCGGATGGACTGATGCCATTCTGGAAACCCTTACTTATCTTACGTTTCTCCTCGTGTACATTCAATGGCTGCTCTATATGATCTGCTGGAAAGGTTAACGACAATTTATTTACACCGAGATAACCAGTATTTATTCGTCTATTTCAACGACGCTTTATAGGAATTGGTACAGCTCAATATAAGACTTACAAATGGATTTCTTTTCCGGGGGATGATCAGGCTGCTGATCCTCGAATTGGTGAATTTTGGCCGTGCAACAGTACACCTGAAAAAACATTTTTCATTCAACAGAATAATTCATAAATGACCGATTGTCACCGTTAGAGGATAAATAATAAAAAAATATTTCGTTTTACCTGACACGGGTTTTCGAATTCAGTGAAATGTTTTGGGCAATTCACCGGTCTGCCGATGGGCGTCGGACCTTTGCTCAAAGACGAGTCCACGTCTGAACCCTGATCGTTCTCGTCTACATTGCTAGGAACAGCACCTGCGCCGCTTTTGCTCAGCCAATTTCCAGGAAATTCACTGTAGTAGTTCCAAAAGTATTTTATTTTATATTTCATTTTACATAGGTAGTACAGTAAATCATCGATGAATGTTCGAAGAATCCTCGACACTGAATGTTCAGACGTCATCCCACCACTGGGCTGGATAATTTCTGCGAGACGCCTTCGAACACTTATCGATAATTTACCGTATTTTGTTTTAGAGTACGTTCAATAGTAAAAGAAAACAATTTATGGGGAATACCAACCTGTTCTTTTCGACTTTCAGCTGCGGACCCGAGTGACTAATCGGGTACCAGGTGATTTCTTGAGAATAAAGCTGCTGTTTCGTGTGCGGTGCTTGCGTGGAGAACGCGTTGCTTTTGATCGATAAACTACCGTCTGATCCTCTTGTGTGGGAGCCGTGTTTAGTGAACGACGAGGACAGAGTACTGTCTAACAACGAATTATAACGTGGATCGTAATTAGGCGTACTCGACACCGTCGACGGATGAGCCGGTCTGATGGCCAGCATTCCGTTGCTGGCTACTGCGGACCATTCCAGACTGCTACGCTTCTGATACTCTAAGAAGTATAAAGTTGCCATCGCGACTAAGCTGAAATTGAAATTTCCCGTCTGAGAACAGGTTCCAATTATGGTACTACGTAAACATAGTGACACATGCGGCACTGTTCTTAGATGTATTTACCAATAAATAATCCTATTATTTCTCGATGAAATTAATTTCTATTCCGAACAAGGATCTGTATCTACTGTTTCATTTATGTTCATAATGAATTTGGAGATGTCTACACAATTTTTCTCAGCGAAATTTGGTGAGGATATCTTTAGTTTAAAATATGACGCCTCATAATTAAAATAGAATAGCGAGTTACTTATTGGTACACCAAATAGTATCTCTTTGGATGCAGGATGTTATGTTTGCATTTGTTAAAAAATATTTCCTCTCTTTACATTAGGTTCATTGATAATAATAGAGGAGGTGGTCCAAATACAGGGTGTAAATATGGGATAATTAAAAGTACAGTAAATCATCGATGAAAGTCCCAAGTCCAAACAGATCTAACGCCACAAGTATCAACAATATAAAGCAGAGTCACGATCAATTACCAAAACGCCATAATAAGGATAAGAATAACGATGATAATCTGAATAAACTTGTTGCTGCAAAGGAGTTCGTCCTCCCGCTCGCACTTCTTCGCCTTTCCCTGTACAGACGTCTTATTATTCATAGAGGATGAGTATTTGTTGCTCGATATACTAGATATTGTACTGATAGAACTCTTGAGGCTGTCGCCTCTCTTCAGCTTCGCCAGTCGTTTGTTTATTCGTTCCAGTTGGTCTATGCGTGTCTCCAAGCTGTCAGTCACCTGAAGGAATTCCAGATTCTAAACCACGTGTCCAACGAAAATTCGACTAAAACCAAAACAACGCAATTAGGCAACGCGTACTTTACACAATTCCTTCACAGCACCAACGTTCTCCATGAATATCCTCTCCTTGTTGACCACCAAGAAATTCTCGATCCTTTGACCATTTGGAAGAACTATGTCCCCCGCTGGTAGCACAGCTTCCGGTAGTATTTGCTGCACCTCCTGCGCTATCACACCCGTGTCTTCTTGTTGTTTGATACCCAGGCCGGAATGCTGCGCGAATTCTGGATCGTATCTATACCGAACCACTCTCAACTGTTGCACGTTCCGCAATTGTTCGCGAGTGTCGACCTCCTGCACGTTCTGTTTCGCTCGTGCGTCGCTGGGCTGAACAATGTGACCTGTCACCTGTGTGCAGGTGTCAGTATTCGTGAAAATTTCAATGTATCTGGTTAGTGGATTATTATAGAATACAGGAAATTATCGATGAATGCTCGAAGGCTTCTTAGTACTGAGTGTTCTGACGTCACCCCCACAATTAGAGGGTCCATTGTGGAACCATTCAAGCGCCAAGTGGTGGGGATGACGTCTGAACACTTAGAGCCGAGGAGCCTTCGAAAACTCATCGATGATTTACTGTATTCATCAGTCGAACGATCTTCTTAACAGGTTCATCACGGAACCTATCGACTGACTTTCCGTTCACGTAGACTGTAGGTATTATTTGAAGTTTGAATTTGTATTACATGATGGTCACCGGTGATCGACATCTGTTGTGAATGTGTTAATATATTCATTCGACATGACGAACTTCAATGTGACCGAAATATCTGAGCAGCGCCGGATCAAGGGGGGATCTAGGGGAAGTTTAGCCTCGGGCCCCGTTCTGAACCTTCCATTTCGTTACGATTAAATGTTATTTACTTTTATTTAATATAAATGTCAGTTTCGGAAGATTTATATATTTTGTTAAGCTGTATTACAAAAAATACCCCACCCCCCGCTTTTCGACCAGGGGGGCCCCCGAAAATCTGATAGCCCTGGGCCACAAAAAATCTTAATCCTGCATGTGAGCAATCTTGTATCTATGTTTTAAAACCTCAATGGGGCTTTAGGAATGACGACCATTCCACGACACTTTTACTGCTTGTGGGTTAGTGAAATAATAGTGGTGGGTGTAGATATAAGTATCATACCTTCATGTTACCGTGAACAACTAGAGCTTCGTCTGGTCTGTCGGTGTTAATCCCGACTCGACCAACATGGTAAACGCTGTCTGAAGCTGCCCCCCTTTGCCAACCCCCTTCAGCGCCTACACCACTGCCTTCCGACTCGAATTGTCCTGGATTACTTGCCTGCGTGAAATACAAACGATGATGCTATCTAGATTCTTCGTAATATCGTCAAGATAACAATGACATTATCAATTTACTCTAAAATTGATAGTTCTACTTCATGAATTATGCACAAAGTTTACAAAAAAAGTAAACATTTTTTTACACAGTTACTGAAAAACTAAAACGAATTAATGACGTTGCATTTTCTGAGATTTTCAATCAATCGTAAATATGTGAAGTTTAGAATCTACTAATATGTATTTTCTCGTACATCTGTAATTTTCATAATTGTGATCAAAATAGCTGTATCTTATTCCGTGGTAGTTCTAATCTTCAGAGAATACATTATTACAAAAATACTTTCGTTCTTTCAACGAAAACTGTAGTTAAAAATAACAAATGTATTACAGTAATATCATTAAAATGGAATAGATTTCTGGTTCCTTAGGAAGTCACCATTGAATTTGACAAAATATAGTGGATTACTTATTCGTATACTTACTAAATGATATCAGAAGTTAATAATGATTCTGTACCGAAAGACAATTACCCTCACTATTATCCTCTCCGACGCATGAGCGACCACCTGGTAGCTAGCTTGGTCCGCGGTGTGCACGTGCAAGCCGACAACCAAATGGAAATATCTCTGATCCGGATTCGGTTTCCCTTTCTTCCTCATGTTGTTGCTGGTCGTCTCGCTGAAGTGAAGACGACCGACGGTCACCTTGGTCACCCGTTCACCACCCAGTTCCACCCTGAAAGCAGCTCTATTTTAGCGTAACGCCGTGACTTCTTGCTGGTCACCAAGAATAAAAAAGAATTTCGCACTAAGGTAGTTCCGAAAATTGTTTCTCACAGTTTCCAAATGTAAAAATAAAACAAAAGAGCAATCTTACATACAGTGTTCCACGGATACTTACACCAAAGTGGCAATAAAAGAGTAGGAATTTAAAAAAAAAGAAGGATGTTTGTATCCAAAAGCTGATCAGCCAATAGCTTAATACTGCCAAAATAATGAGTGAAATTCGATGCACAGGAACTAAATAGACGTACATATATGTACGAGTTTTTGTACATCGAAAGCACAAAATATGTATTAGGTTGAGTCATAGATAACTTCTACTTTCCTTTTTTGCATTTATATCGATCCAAAATATTTTACTGTTGCTACGAATGTACGAAAAATTCCTCATTACCATAATGTTCGGTTTAACTGTTTTTATTATCATAGCTATGGAATTATTATTTAATATGTTTTCTTTTAGTGTCTATGACGTATGTTATTCGTGACTCAGCCCGATACAATGTCGGTCGAACGGGTCAACCAACTGAATCACGCTGACATCCCTCATTTTCCGTATTTCCTAACTCTTCTGGGATTCTGAACCCACAAAAGTAACCGTGGAACACAAAAATCTTTCAATGGAAATTCATGGATGGACACTTTCTTCAGCGTACTTACGTCACAGGATGAAACGGTTTTTTGCTCCTGTCGCTCTGGCTCTGCTCGACACGGATCGTCTGGGTCGGAGACTCCACTTTGACACCGTAAAAGTGTAATTGGAAACTACTTATCTTTTTCAAACCTTCCCCGGTTCGCACGAATATAGCTTCGCCCTGGAGCTGAGCGTGACAGGTGATCTGAAATGACACGTCCACCATTAATGTTCATCTATCACTTTTCTAAGCACTGACCATTTAAATTCTGAACAATTTTTTATAATAATTTTTATTCTAGATACTTAAAAGCTGTTCACATACAATACTTCATATTCTTAATATTTTTGAATTCAAATAGCTAAATATGGTGTTCCTCCACCATTTTACAGCATCCCATGAGACTTCAAATTACGAGTAATACATATTGACAAAGGTATCCTGAAAATTCCAATTTCTCTTTAAAACTTCGCAGATTTCTAGGGGTCTCAATAAAAGTATTGGGAAATTTTTCGTTTTTTCTGATACTCGGTTCTTCAGGGTGAAACCACCCCTTAAACGTTAATATGTGTTTTCCTTCTGTATTACAAGATACTGATATTACAAAGCACCACCAAGACGTAAGGGGTTAAAATGTGGCCAATCTACGTTGAACAGTTCGACGTGGTTCTGCGGGGTGTCTACCTGAAAATGATTTTTCTTCTGACAAACGAACGCGTCGTCCGAGTTGCTGAAATTGAAACCCTTGTCCGCGTCCACGCGGTAGTGCGGAACTGGAAGCTCTTTGAGATTGTGGTCGCAAAGAACGTGCCAGGATGTCTGCTGAAAGGGGTGAAACCGAATGCACTGGTAGCTGGCGTCGATGTAGCTACTGTCTGCCACTTCGTCCCCGTCGAGGACTGCGCTGCTGCTGCTGCAACTGTGCTCCACCGTGCCCAGTTCCGGTTCCTGCAAGACAAAACCGCTGGTAAGACGAGTAACACTCACAAATAGTAACATTTACAATTCCAAGAAAATCAACACATTTTGTGCCGCGTTCGGTTCCAAGTCAGAATTGCTGTATATGAAAATTTATTCGGTATTTCGACAGAAAACTATAATTGAAGACGTTATGTTACAAAATTAACGATTAATGATATACAGAAAGATATGGTGACTTTAGTCAATTAAGAACATAGTATCCAGTACAAGGGTCAGATGTTCTTCGATTTTAAATTTCTAGTAAAGAAACATTCTAATATTTCAATATTTTTCCTTCCAATTCCAGGATAGTAAAATTGTCGAATTTAATATTGTACTTACATAGTACCTAAGTACCTACTGAACCTGCTGTCCGATTTTATATTGTAATTCGGGAAAAAAAGTGAAGTAAGATCAATGTTTATATAGACGTTTTTCATCATTTTCGTGTACTAAAAATTCATCTGAAGCTATGAGTCAGTATTGTGACACACTATAGAATACCGTTTTTCAGACCCCGTGAATCACATCGTGACTCTTTCACACCTGACACACGGAAGGTTAAGTGCCGAGCACAGTAAAAATATAATTTATGAATCTGAGTAATAAAAAATGTTACTCGTTGCACCTGCTTGACGTGAACGAGCCCATCCTGGCTCAGTTTCCTCTTCTTCGGCGCTGACTGCAGCGACGGATACAAAGTATTGATGTTACCGGGACTGTGCTCGTGTGGCAAAGGCACCAGAGTCTGAGCTATCGGTTGCTGTGATTGGAGATTCGGGGTTGTCGGTTGGAGGTGCGAGGTCAGGACTGAGTGTGCCAGTAACAGAGGATCCGTGGAGGAGGATAAGGTCCTTGGGGAAGAGGGTAATAAACTTGGGGCGTAGTTTGCCTGATTGCCTTGATGGTGGAGAAGCATATCTTGAAGAGCTACCTTTTGGTCTGAAACAGAGGAAGAAATGGAATTTAAGAATCTTGAAAATTGTTATGAATTTTTCACACAAGAATTATTTATTATATTCTATTCCTACTGATTATGTAATTTTCTTGTTAATTTTATAACCACTGATCTTGTCAATGATTTATTATTGCGATAAACATAAGTCTTGAAATGTTAATCCCTTGATCAAAAAGGCTGAGTGGTACTTGTGACCAAGGACTTCATGTATATAAATTTAAGAGTTAGTACAGAATAAGTAATACCTGTTTAGAGTCATTTGTTTATAATTATTATTCTTAGCTACTTACAGGAGCATTATATGTGGGATATAACATTCAAAGTAAAGTGATTTTGAGTATCGGTTATAGTGTAAATAATATTATTTTCTGTTCAGGCAATGGTAGAAACTTGATTTGAATTTTCCTTTAGAAACTTACGTGGCGAATGTACGTGTTGAGTGTCGTTGTGACCAGGAGGCGAGTACGGTGGTTCGCTGCCGCTGTCCGGTGGACTTTCTGGCAACGCGTGTCTGGAAGCGAAGGACATTCTCGAATTTTTAAATATTTTCAAACTTCTTTTGAAACAATGGATCCTCTGAGATTTAAAAAATATTTATAGAATTTCTTTAACAATATTATCCTTATGAAAGAGTAAGACTTCTTGATACTAAGATTATTGATACTTCTATGTTATATTACGTGTACAAATAAGTAGTCCACTGTTTTCTTATGATATCGGTCTTTCTAAATTACTTTAGAAAATTTTATTTTGCATAAAAATCCGCAGTCTACTGATACCAATAGTCGATCACTTATTCATACATCTAATAAAATAAATATTAGAACTAAGAATTGAGATCGTGTTTTTGTGAGGTAAATTCAACTTACGGATGAACGTACGATTGTGGATCCTTGTAAGTGGCGCCATTCGGCACTGTCGTGGTGCCAGATGTGCAGGTGCTCGAAACCGGACGATTTTGTGTAATCGGCGATGGTAGTCGAGACGGGGGTTGTTGGGTGACTGGCGCTTCGACCCGACTGTTGTGAGTCGTCGTAACACCGCCATTTTCATTGTGTGCAAGAGTATCCGCGAAATATCTAGGATAAAACGATAATCTTTGTGATTATACTAAATGGTATCGTTACAACGTAAGGAAAAAGGACGAAGGGTGGTGTAGTGTGTCTGGAACTAAAATCTCTGTAAAGAAAAATTTTTAAACCAAATTTTACTATTATTGTTCTTATCATAACGATTGCTGCTTAACAAGATACAAGATCTTTTAATATAGATTATAATTCATAATAAATAATCAATTTATACTGTCTGTGAATCAAGATTATATTTAAAAAGAAATATAACACGTAATCCAATATTCCAATTTTTGTAGAACATTTGTAATTTTGAAAATTATGTTAATCATGGTTTTATTGAATTCTTTCCTGTAACAGAAGTTAAACATAAGGTGTAATGTGATGTTCGTATAAAATTCTTCTTTGCGATAGAAATGGGTTCCTGTTGAATAAACATTTATTCTCCTGCAACAAAGGTTCCATCATGGAGTCGAATTTTGTTAAATCATGTAACCTTCGAATGATGTTTTCGTCAATTTGCGAATTGTTTAAGTAGCTGGCAACAGGAATTTCCTAGAAAAATGCGCTGCACGTGTAAACGGAACAAAGAAATAAATTATGCGGACGTTACATCAATCGATGTGACGCGATTGTCTTTTGTAAAACGCTTGACTTTCAAATCATTTCATTTTCTTTTTTTGCATTTTAACCGAAACTCTAGATATAATATACCGTTACTCGGTAGTTTCTCCAACAGTGACCCACTCCTGCGTTATTTCCACAACGACACGCTCGTGAAATACCGTATTTTTTCGTTACTGGAGTATCGTCGGTTTCCTGACAGAATGTCGTATTTTTTCCTTCGATCGTGCTGTTCGGAATCTCTTGGTCAAGAAAATTAAAACCAACAAGTTAATCGACACCGACGATTATAGAATATAATGACTATTAATTTATGCTGATTGTTGATCAATGAACAATCTGATAACTTGATCTAGGATATTTATAATTAGAAGACCAATTTGTTTTTCTTTCGGTGATTCTCATTTGGAATTTCCTTGAATTCTGAGACTGTAGCATAATCCATGCAACAATGCACGTTAAATAATAGAGTCTATTATACTATTCCTGCCAATTATGTATAATTATCTTGTCATGATATCGAATTCACGATCCTTGAAACTTATACCGATCACCAATCGACAATTGTTCTTGCCAATTTTGTTCCATCGGGATTTCCATACTTCTACTGGACACTTCAATTACACAGGATATAAATTCAGATAATTCGTACAATTCACAATATGTTACCTGTAGATCAGTAATTAAATTTTGAATAGATAATCGTTTCGTGACTATTAAGATTCTTCAAAATAGATAACGTAGAGTAAAGAAACGTTGGAAAAACTCATGCAACATACATATGCAACGCAGCATTTACATGATAAGCAACATTTCAGGCGTCTAAAATGGAATGAAATGAAACTGTAGACATGCAATTCTGGACACGTGGAACCCGGCAAAGATTATATCGAATTCAATAGACTCGGTGCAGACCATTATGAACTCAATAGACTCGGTGCAGACCATCCTGAACTCAATAGACACGATGGAGACCATCTCTAACTGAATAAACACGATGGAAACCATTGCGAATTCAGTAGGTCCGATAGATACCATTTCTAACTTAGTAGACACGCTAGAGTCCATCCAGAACTCCATAGACACGACGTAAACCATCCCAAACTTAGTAGATACGATTATCCAGAAGTCAATAGACCTAACCCAGATCATTCACAAATCAACAAACGCAATGGAAATCAGCCTGAATGGCATGGACTCGATGTAGACCATCTCTAATATCATAGACACGATGTAGACGACCTCAAACTCAATAGACACGATGCAGACGACCCCAAACTCTATAGACACGATGGAGACTATCCCAAACTCAATAGACACGATGGAGACGACCCCAAACTCAATAGACACGATGTAGACGACTCCAAACTTAATGGATAAGATGGAGACCATCATATACTTAGTAGACCCGATGAACACGATCCTGAACTCAATAGATCACCTTCTGACCTCGTGACCCCCAGGATCCTTCAGATCCTCAGACCCCTGGGACCCCAAGACCCTTCACCCTGCAGACCTCCAGAACCTCTCAGACCTTTGAGACCTCCCAAACCCACAAGCCATCAAAGCCTAGGGATTGGACAATCCCTCCAGATCTCTTTAAATTCTCCTAAATTTGAAGAACCCCTGTTTTAAATAAAATAGTACCACATGCCTGGGACTACGAGTACCACAACTTTTAAAAGCATATTGTATTGAGTCCTACTGTTCTGGTATCATGTAATAGTAATTTGTGGATACTTGGGCCATACTATACGATACTTTGTGCATCCTTCGATTTAATTCTATCGAGTTCTACCAACCTATCATCTAAGCAAGTCCTATTTAATTCTAGGAGATCCAGACGTACGTTCTATTGTTTCCTGAAAGTTTACCATCGTAACGTATCCGTTAGGGTCTTACGTACACATTCCATTGATTTCTACAAATCCAACATCGTGTCCTATCGAGTGTTACATGTCAGACATTTGTCGAATCATTTTCTACGAGTCCAGTACCTTGTAGCAATGAATTCTAAAAGTCAAGAACCGTGTAGAATTAAATTGTACGTGTTCGGTGTCAAGTTGTATTTTGTTCTGGGAATCCGAGACCGCACTTCATCAGGTTTCACGAATGCGAGGTCGAGTTTACCTTGCTCAAGGAGTCCTAAATCACTGTACATTGGAGTTTAGATGTCTGATATCACTGAGTATTGATGCTTAAAAATTCAGGACCTCGTTTTATCATTCACCACATGCTAAGAGTAATTATCAAGTAAACTTCTACTAACCTAGAATAGTCTCACAAAGTATCAAGCTCTAATAGCCCCGGATCCTCTTGTGTAATATCAAATTTTATAAAGATTTCACTATATGATTTGTCTTAGCCCATATTCGTACACTATATTTTGTTGGATTCTACGACATTAACGACCTACTTTATATTATTCTATACATTCAGAATCCGTTACATCCTAGTCTAACATGATAATTCCCTATTTCTCCTTGCACGCGTTGATTTTTATTCCTATAAGGACATGTAGGACAATCACAGCAATTCCTGAACGAGCACAATCACTCCCCAGTCAATCTCAGTTTCTCAGCAAAACCCGCGACGCAAGAAAGATCAAGGGTGAATCTTCCATTCGGTTGATCCCGTGAATGAAATCTGTTTCTGAGATCAGCGCGGGGCCTTTAATGGATCGAGTGCGTTAGGCTGGATTACCCAGGCTTAACGCGGGGCGAGCACTGATTCCATCAATTCCGACCAGGCTGTCTCTGCCATTATATCATTACACCTTCTGCGGTCGCTACCACATGATATCTGTCGGCTGTTTCTACACGCGTCCATATTCGTCTCTGTACGTGCACATAGTTCACCATGTGTTCAACCGGCCACATGGACACGGTTCATCCTATCCTCTCTCCCTCTACCTCCTCTGTGTTCGTTCCATGCAGACGCGTGTACACTAACGGCCATAAGTATCAGACTAAAATCCTTTACCGTTACTGCTCATAATACACACGATAGAGAAACTTTTACAGTATACCCACGATTCTGCAATTCAATATCGTTTGCGATCAAATTGGCTAGTTAGGATTACTTCGCACGGTGGTCTTCTGGCCCTGTGGGAAACTCGAAGTAAGTCAGTCGGCCTGTTAACCCGGGAGGACAGGTTAATTCGCCATTGGTAGTTAACTAGATTATAGACATTTCTGTACGTCAGCATCGTGCAAGCTACTTACTTTGATAGGAAGTATTTCGATTGAGTTCTTTCTCTAAAAAGTCCTGTGAAGATAGAGGATGTCGCGTGATGTGTACAAAGATTTTAATAGGGAACAATAATTCGATTACCAAAGTTACGATGGAAATACAATAGGAGATTCGAAGTTTAGTTCTCTGTAATTTATGACACTATTTTAACTTAAACAATCGTGTGGAGAACACGTAAATTCTGCTATTGCGTTCACAAGCGTTGTAAGTTTGGGAATTTTTTATTTACAACGAAAATTCGGAATTCTCGAATGTCCATAAAGCAATCGGTTTTCAATTCATCGAGCATTGGTTTCGATACGTATGATTGTCACTTTAGAAGGTAGTGCCGTTCTTATACGTGCAGAAAAGCACTGGGTCGACTAACCAATCACTTGAAATAAAATCAGAATGTATTCGTGTATACGTCGATATCCACCGTCGAACCTATCGAAATCACTGTTGTAACGCAATTCATTATGTAATCGTTGCAACAACGTGTAGTAAATTGTCTCGGCGAACTCTGACTTCGCTCTTCCTAACGTGAATGTAACAAGAACGCTTCATTGACCCTTGGGCACTGTTTATGATCAATTTAACCCGGACCAAAACATTCATTTTCAATCGTTTCACCAGATTGAAGAATGTGTATAGACAATTTTACAAGAATAATTGATGAACACTATTAATTTAACAATTTTAATTTTGGCTCAATGTTACTCGATTGATGCATATGTAATATATTAATTGATAAGGGTACAAGAATTACCAAAGAATTATACGTTGACTGCTGGAGAAGTACATCAAAATTATCGTCTTAATCTTTTTATTAAAACAATTGTTTATGCTATAGAAAAGTGAAATTTGTAGTAGTAACGGTTCATTTAAGTGAATTTTACTTCATTAGAAATAATTTGAATTTGTTACCTAAATTTTATCAAATTTCGGAGTTCTATAATCTATAATGCTACATATTTCTATATTTCTATATTTCTATATTGCCATATTTCAAATTTGATGAAATGCAAAAGATCGAAAAAGTTCGAGATTATTGAAATATTTATAAGGAATTTTATTGGCGGACACAGTACCGAGCGATTGAGTACATTGTACCTAGACCATTCAATTCAGAGATTCAACGCGACGAGTAAGCGCATTAGATCTGAATTCTTTAATTGGCTTGATTCGAAATGGGGTGCTTGAAGTGAGAACGTTTTGTCCGTGCCGTCGGTCTTCAGTGTCTGCGCCAGTGGCGCAGCAGTTTTTCTCTCGTAAAACGTAGACAGCAATTGTCCCCCTGTCTCACGAAATCACATACGCCATCCTCCTTCTGGATTAAATAACTTCTATCGCAACTGTGTTGTTAATTGTCTTCGAATCTTTTCAGTACATAATTAAAGTGTCGAATAGGTTGCACATAATCACAATCTATTGTATTTACAATTATAAATAATAACGCAACAATATCTGTCATAAGTAAAATTACAAAACAACCGAGTAAAGATAATTTTCCTTAGAATTTTCTTTATATACTCAAATTTCGTTGTTGCAAATTCAATGACAGTTTTTTTATGATATTCTGTAAGAAATTCGAATTGTTATCGAATATACAAAAAATCTGTCACATTTGGCTAACAAATTAATACATGATTCTCTTTTCAAGCGAAGTTTATACACAATTTTTATATCTACTAAAATAGTAGCAATCTATTGGTTTATACATTATTTTAAACCTCAACCAATAGAGACAAGCTTCTGTATCTATTCCAAATGTAAATGATCTAGCTTTAACGAAACGAACGTTACTTCCACTTATCAAATTTTTATATACATGCTAGTCCATTAAAAGATACCACCTTAAATATCTTTAGAACTAGAAGAATAAGAAAGAAATTTTTTAAATAAACGTTGTTTAGTGCAAAACAGGCCACCGTACTCCCACAGTTTCAGAGACAAGTAAGGTGGTCATTTTTATAAAGAAAAAAGTCACCTGTTTTATCTTTGTGCAATTACAAATGTTAACAACATTTCACCCGTGACAGACTGACACACTAATGTTGTAACATTTGCAACAGGAGTTTGTCGATGGACAACGAAAACGAGCCTGGCGGATCTACTCGTTAATCATTGACCGGGAACGATAAACGATCATTTTGAATGCAAAACAAGGTACCGAAAGTGGTCCCAACGCCGATGATTGATCGAACGTGAAGTCGAGATTCTGGTCGCGGTAGAGACGTTACGCATGTGCACGCGTGTGCTCTCCGATGTAGGCGTTAACGATGGCTTCCGAAGTTCAATTCACCAGAGAAATATTTCAAGTCTGGATCGTCAACCGAGAGAGGGAATAAAACAGATGTTCTGATTTCACGAGAGCTTCGAACACGGTGAAGAAATTTGGTTGCTTTAGCATAGAAAGCAATTTTTGTATAGCCATAGAATTATCTTTCTGGCCATAAAAAGAAATATACCATTCAGAAATAATTTAAATAATTGACTGAAACAGAAAGTTCCTGTTGTTCCTTCATCAGAAAGATTTGATTTAAAATTGTAAGTCAGGAGCTTTAAGAATCGATGTTGTCAATAATAACCCTCCAGCTGGATTTAACATTAAAAATAAGAGGAAGGAATGTAATAATAGTAATGTAAATGTGAATCTACCATGCAAAACAAATGCTGAGGTACGATCGAATCATCTTTTTGATACATTTGTCTGTCAATTTTCATGTGTCAATTAATTATGTAATTAGTGTAAATTATGAACTTGCAAGGGGATCTATAGTGTAATAATAAGTGTATAAATATTATAGATTCTATTGTAATTTGATTTTTAAATGAATTGGATGATTGAGGAAAATCTGTGATTAAATTAAAAACAATGTTTACTATGAGATTCGTTTAAAGTTTGCCACTGAAAGTGTACCGTCGCTGATAAGATCTGCCAAACGGAAATAGTCCATGTCATTCTACATTATATTCTACCGGGAGAATTTTAGAAAATTACTCACGTGGCCGGTTGTTCGCTATCACTATTAATAAAATCTTCCAATTGCGAGAAGTCCAGAGCCTCGTTGTCTATGCCTCCGACGAAGTCGCCCCGACCTGAAATAAGAGGAAAACGGAAATTTTAGTCGTTTATTCCAATAAAAGTCGTTAATTTTAGTCGTCGCCGCTTCTCTCCGAATATAAGAATTACTATCTGATAATGAAACTGCAGTTCAGTGTTGTTTAGCATTAATATGGTTGACATTTTCCTTTCATTACATGTCTTTTTAAGCAAAAACTTAATAGAAAAACCTTGATTGAAGCTTCAATCCAATGATAACAAACTGAAGATACCACGATAACGTAATTCTCTATAAACATGTGTCTTTTTGTAGTGATAGTGTAGAAAGACAGACTTTAACAAATTCTGTCACTGTCAAAAATATTTCAAAATTGTAGAATATAGTATAAATCTTAATTCCCGAACAAAATAGAAAATTCGTTGCACCTGGTAAAAATGTTCTCTCTCATTCTTTTCCCAGAGCCCTGTAGGCTATAAATGCACAATAATCCACACTCTACTTATTGTATTAACAATAAAATAGAGAACTGATCGTATGATAAAAGTTTTGTCTTTTATTGTATTTCACAGAGCTTCAAAAACAATAAATGCATCGAATCCGCAGCCTACTTATAACGTTTCAACAAAGAAAATCCACACTCTACTTATTGTATTAACAATAAAATAGAGAACTGATTGTATGATAAAAGTTTTGTCTTTTATTGTATTACACAGAGCTTCAAAAACAATAAATGCATCGAATCCGCAGCCTACTTATAACGTTTCAACAAAGAGCTATCTGCAATACCCTGCACATTCCAAGAGGAGACTGTGTCCCAATAAACAAATATATCACCGTCGGTATTATTGTGCCAATTAAGTGATACAGATGAAACGAGCTCGGCATGGTATTCTAATTGTAAAAGTAAAAGCAGGAAAGGCTTCAAGGCGACCCACGACGCGACGACCGGCTGCTGCGCATAGTCAAACGATTTCGACACAATTCCCTTGCGTGTGTCCGTCCGAAAGACCTTTACGACGAGACCTCGAGGTGAAATATGTGTATTCGTGGCTCTGCGTCGCGGTTGTTCTCACCTGCAACGCCTAGCTAACACCCACGCGGACGTCTCTCTATCACGGAATACCTGAATTACCTGCATCCTCGTTCTTGCATCGGGTCGGTGCAAGAAATACCATTAACGACTCCTTCATAAAATTTCCGTAACACGATATTTGTAATTCTGTTATTTCCTATATTTCTTGTAATTGCATTTCTGGTAAAACCTTCCTGCGTGTTCGTAGAACGAAGGAATTAATGTGATATCTGGACTGAGGAAGTTCATGCAAAATAATTTCTGGTTCTAACAGACAATATAAAAGTTAAAATTGGTCAGAATATTATTTCGCGGTCGAGGGTTTTAGTATTTTAATAGGAAAGCATAGATAGTATCACAAAGGACATATATAGAACCTAACATTTATAGTAGGTATGATCTAATTGATATAATTCAAGAACCAATAAAAGTATCTGATGAAACTGTTTCCGTGCAAGTACTTCTTTCACTTACTTGTATTAAACCGTAAAACAACTTTAATATCTCACGATACTAACTCACAGAAATAGCTTAAATGTATACCTATTTCTACATTCCGTTCCTCTGTAAAACTTTCAAGATTCCAATCGAAGAACGAGATCATGAGAAAATTACTCAAAAACCTCGACCATTTAAATACTGTAATTATAGAAATCCGTATTTCATGCCTGTTACGATATTTCACGTAATACTGAATGATTAAAAAAAAATAATGTTCAAAAACGGCTGTTTTCCGTACGTTCCCAGATCAGGAACGCAGTAAAATGCAATTCATCAAGACACTAATAACTATAACCGTGCCGGACGCACCGTAATGATCCAAGCGTAAGAGAAAGTGCGGATTCATTGAATGGACAGGAGCGAATTTCACGGGCAATTGGGTCCCCGTCGACGACGCAGTTGAATGAACAAAGTGTCAACGTGTGCAACGGGCGTGTTCCATCGGAAACTGCCAGAATTTTTCGCGAACCAGTAAACTCCCGGCGAAACTCCGCGGTGAATTGTTGCGAGGCTTGTTTCCGATTTACGGGTTTCCAATTACGAGAGAAATGCTGGACGATCGCGTCGGGTGAAATCTTGCTACCTGGTCGCAAAACCACGATACTAATCACGGAAAGAGAATGGAGTTGATTATTCGCTATGAGCTCGTGGCTCAAGTGACGTGCTTATAACGAGGTCTGGATTAGTTCAGTTTCATCTGGTGACAGGCTTGTCTACATTTAGAGATCATGAACGCGATGAATAATCCACCAACTTCGTTGAGTTTAATATTTGTATCTTAAGAAATTAAAGGTTTACTATACCTCTATACATAATATATGTTTGTATTTTCTAATAACTTTCGTCATTCTTAAAAAAGAAAAGAGGTTGAAAATGTTTTGAATTTAACCCATGTGACTGGTTCATTAAGAAAAATACTGGGATTACATATTGGTACACCTAATATTATAATTAGACTGCGGACGTCTATGCAAATATAGACTAATCTGTGTAAAGATCGGGTCGGGTGAAATCTTGCTGAAATCGGGCAAAACCACGATACTAATCACGGAAAGCGAATGGAGTTGATTATTCGCTATGAGCTCGTGGCTCAGGTGACGTGCTTATAACGAGGTCCGGATTAGTTCAGTTTTATCTGGTAATCATGAACGCAATGCAATACTTATGGATTATACAGTGTTACATTTCATTTTTTATTAAGAAAAAAGAAAGTACAAACTGAAAATCTTGTGTTGTTCGCAAGGTTATCGCGTATTTTTTAACCCTTAGACTGCGAACCATATGGAAGCAAGACATTTCTTGTATAAAATATTCTTTGCTAATAATTTATAAAACATCCCATTGTTTGTATATGTTTTAGAAAATTTAACGATTGTAGTTATCATAGAAGAAACATACGACAGATGGCAAAGCAACTGGTCTTCTTAAGATCTTCTAAGATTCGTTCTAATATCTTGTGAATGTTCTTACCTTTAACCACGTGATTGGATGAAGGAAGAAACAATTGTACAATATAGGCAAAATTATATTCAAAATGACTGATTATACATGTAACTTGAAATTCCTTCAAATCGCGAAAGGAAGATCCATGCAAAGTAAAGGTCAACACGTATCCATTTCAAAGTCCATTAATTGCTCGATCTATCGATCGTTACAGACGATCTCAATCGTTCTGACTCACTGTGAGAATCAGGGCGGCTGTTTTTCAGAGCTACACGTAAACATTCCCGTGTGTGTGTACTCGAGGAACACAAAGGGATCACGTAGCTTGGCTACTCTTCCATGTCAAGTGTCATAACTCGTTACTTCCGGTCGGGCTATTCACGGCGGCCGCCAAGTGTAAGGGCGCCTTTAAGACTTTGGATTGGAAATATCGTACGAGGATACTCCTGTCGATGAATGGAATTGTAATTTGTTAATTGAACACTGGCTTATAGGATTTTTAGAGTGCACTCCGATCAGCCGTTTATTTCTACACAGAATGTGGTTAATTGATAACAAAAATTGATGTAAAATGACTAACTTTGCTTTTCGAATTTTTTCCTCAAATTTTAATGCCAAAGCACTTCATTGATGCATAACTTTTTATATTTAAAATAAATTTCCTTGACAATTTTCGAGAAGTTGATCATTTTTGTGTATTGATAATTTTTTGATAATTTGGACAAATGAACGACTTATATAAAGGGATGTTGCTTAATGTTTATCAAGAAAACAGACAACAAAATAGCGGTAAATAAATAATTTTATTACTTTAACAGAGGGTTACGTTCCTGTCGCTTCAGAGAGATTTTGCAAAACTTCATTTAACATTCTTGGATTCAACATGAGTGAACACGTGATCTTGAAAGGTGAATATCATAGTCACGTCTGTGTCATTGTACGTTTAGGTGAGATGAGACGATCGAACGGTATAGGAGATCAAAATTAATCTAAGAATACCTGTCCACGGGGATCCCTGATTAATCGAACGATCCGTTCTGCGTAGAAGATTGTGGAGTTATTATAAATGTGGCTGTCATTCGCGATGCTTATGGATAAGGGCAAAACAAGACCATGCATTGGAACAAGTTTAATAGAGAACCTGTTTTCACGAAGCTGCGTAACAGCTTCTGAGATCCTCTTCCCGGAGGAGTTTTATAGCGAATGTGTCAGGGAATGATTAAAGTTATTTGTCGAGATACGTGGCTACTGGTATTCGCATAACTTATTTGTCACTGTCAAAACTAAACTCTATTACTGTCACAAAAGTCTAGAATAATAGACTATAGTGTAAATATGAATTCTTGAATGGAGAATTGTAAAATCTCAAATACCTGTATTAATTTAGCAATATGTGCCTTTTCTTTATTTTAATTTCGTAAATCTGTCACTGCCAAAACTGAACTCTGCACTGTCAAAAAACTTGTAGAATTAAAGAGTATAGTATAAATTGTAATTCTTGACAGAAAAATTGTGAATCCTTAGATATAGTATTTTAGCAATCTTATGTGTCATCTTTTCAATGTGTCTTTTTATAAATCCATTTAATTGGTTGAGTTTCTCAAGTAATCTTTAAATAGTCGGTGCATTGTCCCGATCATTTGCGTGCTCACACCGATCGTGGTCGTTTTGCAATATGCGAACCCGCGTATTCGAGCGTTTCTCTCGTTCTTTTCTTGGTCGGCTTCTTAGGAAAATCCCAGGTGAACATCGAAGGTGAAAAAAGACATAGTCGGCAACACGTGATGAAAATCGTAATGTCCGATTGGTCGTGTTCCGTCAAACGAGACTGTCCTAAAGTGGACGTCGCTTTGCATAGCCACGGATGCAACACATTTTAAGGAATACACGCAGTATGTATCGGATAAAAATATCTACAAATTGGTGACTTTTACAGATTTTTTTCTCCCACTGTATATGCTTTAAGATGGCAAACAGAGTTAAAATTTTGGGGAAATTTGTTGAATTGTAATAAGTCC